CGTGATGTTTTACTGAAGTTGAAAAGTCGCGTATACTGCGCCACCGTACGATCATTTCTGCTGTACGGTCGTGAGACCTTGAATTTACGGGTAGAAGACATCCGTCGTTTAGCAGTATTCGACAATCGATACTTACGTAGTCTGACCCAAGTAGGATGGAGTGAGCGGGTTAGTAACGTAGAGGTAAGTCGTCTGGTGTTTGGGAATACATCAAACAAGAACTCGGTATCTCATCGAATCTAGCTCATTAGGCCCCGTTGGTTAGGACACTCTTTGCGTACGTCCAACGGTCGCCTACCGCAGCGTGCCTTATTTTCAGTGGCTGTTGCAGGCTGGAGAAAGCCACGTGGAGGCCAGCAGATGACGTGGAGAGGAGACATGAAGAAATACACAGAGCTATTAGATAGAGTAGGTGTCTTTTGTCTTGCGGGTTGTGGTTTAAAAGACTCCGTAACCGCGTGGTTGGAGACACTGAAGATCATGGCTGCGAACTGACGGCAATGGCGATCATGTTGTCACTTGTTATCAGACCAGAATGCTTGAAATAGTATGAATGCACAGTTGAACTGTTTACTCTGTGTTGACCGCAGCGGTGTGCATTCTTTTCCCGTCCCTAAAAATAGGTCCAATCCCTGTCCTCCTTACACATTATCACTTACCTTGCATGCAATATGAGTTTGGCAGTGATCAGTGAAGTTCGCTTCACTGTATTACGCTGTACAATGATGTTGATGACCAGCCGCAACCCTACACACTCACCCCCGACCATACCGAGGCTTTCAGATGGGACTAAAGCAATAGACTTAGGTGGTCATTAGTCGTCAAGCGGTTTAAGCCGTTGTCACGGGCGTGCTCTGAACCCTAGGGTAGCGGCGGGAGATTTACCCACAATCAAAAATGGAATTTAGATCTTGTATTCGATATAGCGTGGAAGGGGAACTTTGTCTGGTGGGCTTCCTCCGCGCTTCATAATAGAACATGGTACCTTCACGCATTCCATTACTCATTAAAGGGTTTATTCTATCGCTTTGGGGTGAATGATTGACCGTTCCAATTTTCAAAAGGGATCACTTAACGACTGCGGAAGCTACCGCGGTATAAGTTCTGTTCCGAGTGCCATCCGTCACTTTCCATGATATTTCGCCGCCTGACGTTTTGGAGAAAACAAAGTTTGTGAACAGCGAGCCGGATTCCGACCAGATCGCGGTTGTTTATCAAATTTTCACCATGTATTGCGTAGCACATTCATCGAAAATCGCTTTGTTCTTTGACATAAAAGGATTGTTTGGTTCAGTTAACCATGGCGTTCTTTTCGTCTTGCTTCTTCTCAGAGGATTACGCCAGAAGTACCTCTGAACTTGATGGGTTTTGTGTACGTTACCTTTGCCCGGTCATTTCTGATGTGCGCTTGTGAAACACAGAGTTTACACGTAGAAAAATCTACTGGCTGGAGGTCTTTGACTGAGGATGTTTACGTGGTTTGGATCGATCAAGCTAGTTAGTAAAACCGAAGCAAACCACCGCATATTTGGTGTCAGTGAAAGAATCGTTGTCACGACGAATTAATGAATAGACGTCACTGGGCACGTGTTGCGCCCTGTTTTCTTTACCGCTTCTGGGAAGAAGAAATCAGGTGGCTGTCGGATGACATGGTGATGACTTATTAGATTAGGCAGATTGAATAGTCTCGTCTTCCTGATTGGGATCCAAAAGAACATGTAACTGGTTAATTGGATTCAACACAACACAGTGGAGAACTGACATGAGTACCGTTCTTGTCATTACTATCAGTTAAGATTCTGTGCGGATGCAAACTATGTTAACCGTATCTTATCGTTTCCCTTTCTCTTTCCTCAAAGCAAGCCCGCTCACCTACCTCCCACATTCGCACGTTGTATTCATAGCGACGATCAACAAACTTTGCTCTACCTTATTTCGCAGTATTTTTTTTCTCGGTCTAAATGAGAAACACTTTGTTCCTTTTCCCGTTGCAATTGCATTTCCAAGACCGTTTTGGTTGATTTCATTGTGTGCAAGCGTTTTGATTCATTTGATGGATCTACCAGCCATATACTGTCAAATGAAAAACACTGCGTGTACGCCCATTTCAATAAATGTGTCTCATCGGTGTATGCGTTCCAAATTCAGACTTCTTGTTGCAAGTACCACCACATTCCGGAATAGCACCATCCCTTATCTTGCTCTATTTTGTCATAGATTTAATTCTTGAAACAGCCCTATCCTCATACGAGGATGGCGGTATCGATTTACTCCCAGGTGGCAGACTGTCTGATCTCGAGTATGCAGACGAAATTGTGCTACTAAGTGAGGATCCAGGTAAGTTGCAAGCTTTTCTGGATAGCCCGAGTGCTAGTGTATCCATGTTCGGTATGCGTTTTGCACCTTCAAAGTGTAATATGTTACTCCAAGATTGGGTTGGCCCAGTCTCAACCTGACTGGGGAAGTAGTAGAAGAAGTAGACAAGTTTTGCTATCTGGGTAGCTATATCTCACCTGGTGGACGCATGACGGATGAAATGTCGGCGTACATATAGGAGGCTCGGTTGGCATTTGCCAACCTGAGACATCTGTGGCGCCGTCGCGACATCCGGCTGTCTGTTAAGGGTCGAGTGCATGCTGCAGCAGTTCGGCCAGTTCTGCTATACGGTGCGGAGACTTGGCCACTGCGGGAACACGATAAAAATAGATTGTCGGTGTTCGAATACCGCTGTCTACGGCGCATTACACGTATCTGGTGGGGTAACCGGACGAGAAATGCTGAGGTTAGGCGTAGAGTTTTAGGTGGTTGCGGTCGTCCACTGGAGCAGATTACGTTGTTTGGGGCATGTTACACATGCCACCCGATAGGTTGCCTCGGCGAGCGATGTTTGCCGAATCACGTAGCGGTAGGAAAAAGGTCAAGGGTGGTAAGACGAAAACCTGGCATGAGGGTATGAAAACCCTAACCAAGAGATTGGGTCACGTAGGTCCCGTTAGGCTCCCTGGCTGGGGATCCCCCGATCATGGTCATCGATGGTTAGAGGCACAGCCATGTGGCTGGGTGTTGCAACCAGTGGCGGTTATGCATCTACTCATTATTCTCTTAACGCTAGTCTGTAGGAATTCTATGTTCTGTTTGAATTGGCTTTTAACATTCCAATCTTCATCCTTCTCTTTTATTCAAGTGGGCGACCAAAAGACAGCAACCAAAACCGGCGCACGAATATGCGTGCTTAATGGTTTTAAAAACTGAAACTGAAATTTATCTTGCTCATATTTTAGTAAATCCAGCAACTATCGTTACTGACTTGGAAAACCACCTGTCATACTAGCATTTTATCACATCCATCAGTTTCTCGTTTATTATGCCGTTGCTATACACATTTTCTCCACTACCTTGTCAAATGGGCTGGAAATCGATCCTATAAGATGCATAAAGGCTCAATTTCGTCGTACGATAAATTCTATTTGTACGTAAATTGAATATGTTTTGCTTATGTATAATCATTTATCTTCGGCTGAGACTTCTTGCATCGTTCTTGAAGTGTGTTGCATTGTCTTCCTAGACTGATAATGATTAAAACATGTATACGGAGACAAAAATAAAAGAAGCGTGAGCGTTTGATAAAACCCGTTCAGTTTGCAATTGAAAGCCTCGTAATGTGGCACAAGTGTTGTGAGCGGTGTTCTATGTTCCTAATGTTCCTTTGATGCATCCTATTGTTATCCGTTGATTAGATCCAACAAGTGTTTTCCAAGCTACGTTATTTTGTTCTCTAATCAAAGTGAACACCGAATTTCCCATTCTGTTCCCTCCTAGTGACTCCTTTTGATACTTCAGCCCTTTGTACTTCACCCAGCCTCCCGCCGATGACTGCTGCGTCTGAGGTGCGATGGAGTGTATGGAACCACGCTTGGTTAGACGTGTCCGGAAGCGAATATCTCTTGGGTCATATTGGCTCGGTATATGCCGGTCGATTACCCCATCGGGCAGTGCTTAGTGAAGATTACTTGAGTACTTGCTTAACTGCTCCTCAGTTGGTCTCTCTGAATCGATCCGGTAAATTGATGGGCGCTTGCAATATTGTGTCATTATCCTTCTCATCAAGTCAATTCAAAATGCTGTTAAAATTGGTGAGTATTTCATCTTTTGGTGTCCTCATCAAATATTTGCGTGTTACCCATTTACTTGCATTTTCAAGGATTGTCTTTTATTGTGCACGTGGAATAATTCACGCATTAACAATCAAGAGAAAACTGTCTAAATGTGGCTCCAAAGCAAAGACCTTGTTGTGTGTTCTACTGTGTAACTTTTGCAATCACTGAAGCCTACAGTGAAAAAGAACTACACATGTCAACCGACATTTGCGATATGTAGTGGGTAAATTTCTTCACACGTCACATGGAAACATTTCCTAATTTGGGGTTAAGATGTAGTTCACCTGTTACCCTTTCTTTGTTTGTGAGCAAACTTGCAAGATAGAGCGCACATGAATTTCGGTGAATGTTTATACGAAATGGCATTCATCGGGATTCACAACGTGTAGAGGGACGGGAGCGATAGTGTCAGTTCTGCGTACAATGGATGGTTATAATCTACGAGACTCCTTTCCGCAAAGTAAACTTTTACCGATAGTAAGACCACTTATCCTGAACGATTGATGTTGAGTTCATCGAATTTTTTTCTGTTCTGTTTTCAGTCTAGTCAGCTGATGAGCGATAAGTTTGCAAAAAATTTGGACTCAATTGTGAAAATTTTTTGGCCGGTGAGTTTTCGTTCATAAACTCTTTTTGTCCATAATCTGGTTCACTTTCATATAAGAGTGTTAGTATGTGTTCTAGTGGGAGGATTATTGAATGAGAATTAAAACCCACAATAAAGTTCTTTGTTTTCTTTTTTATGCAGTACCGACCGAAAAATGGACGTTATCCGTATCGATCTTTTGCGCATAATTTGCGTCTATGTTGGTTATTACTCATCCGGGACGTATTACAAAATGATATTAAAGGTCAGTTTTATCTTCGAAATCTTCATTCTGTTATTGTTTTACACTCTTTTTTAGCTGAAATGGTGGAATAATTGTTGTGTTGCGCTAACTTGGCCATTATGAAAACCGGATAAAGATAGACTGTCAGCGCTCGTCCACGCAGAATTTCTCGAATCTAGTTAGGCAACGGGACGAGCAATGCAGATGTTGGGCGCAGAGTTTTAAGTAAGTGCGTCTATCCACTGGAAGAAGTGGTCGACGTCCTACGGTGCCTACGGTGCTTGGGACATGTGTCGTGTATGTCACCAAATAGGCTGCCACGGTACGCGATGTTTACCGAGGCCGGCCGCGGATGGAAAAAAGCCAAGGGCGGTCAAACCAAAACCTGGCATGAGGGTATGAAAACCATGACCAGGAGACTGGGTCATATAGGTCGCGTTAGATTCCCTGGATGGGGACCTCGGGATAATTGTAATCAATGGTCAGAGACACTTAGCGATTTGGCTGTGTCTTAAATGGTGTCGTTCGTGCATCATTTCAGTTTCTTTGCAACCTTAGTATACAGGAGTTCTCCTTTTTTTCTCTTCGGCTCTACTTTCAACTTTCCATTCTTCTTCCCGTTCATCCAAATGCGCAGCCGAAATCGTTGCAGGAAAGTGCATGGTTCCTGGTTGTACAAACTAAAACTGAACTTGAGACAGTGAATTCTGTGTTCGATCAAACAAAATTGTTCATTCTGGAATAAATTATTGCTGCATTCACCTTACTATTTTATATTTTTGCAACGGGCTTAGCACAGTGCTGGCAGAAATAGCAGCTTCTAACTTTCATTCCTTCAGAGCGTTGAGTTAAACGGATTTGGAGATCCTCACCAGTGCTATTGGTAGGTCTCCATTTTGAGCTATCGGCAAAGGTGAACAAAACGCGTATCATATGCTTCTCTCCATTCTAGTGGGTTGTGTCTCAAGTGCTAGGTCCGACTGAACCGTTATTTTTTTCTTTAGTTTCCCTTCACCTGTAGACAAACAATTCATGCATGGGTCTCTTCCTCACCTCGAGTTTTTGGGCTCTCTGAACCCTGAGCTTGCTGTGCAGAGAGAGCTCTTGCATACAGTTTTTAACCGCTTTCAAAGGCAACTTATCTGTTCTCCACCCCACATCCAACTTGCACAGAAACAGGCGACAAAATCCTGAGCAGCGTACAAAATCTAATGCTTGAGGTGTACACTAGCTGCATTCGCGATTTGCACCGTCTATCGACCGAGATGACTACGGACCCGTTGGCATCTACCGACACTCAAACAGTTCCGCCAACGGCTAAAATTTCCTCCCTCGTGTCCTCTGCGAATGCCCTATCCGCGTCGTTTCGACGAACTCCACGACCGCGTTTCAGTAATCCTCAGGATGATGATCCAGATCGATCAAGTGAAGCAGCTGAGTGTAATTCATCTCCGTTTGATGATTCCAGACAACTTAATGGGTTCACGAAAGAGGATGCAGAATCTCGCATTTCTAACACCCCCGAACAAGTCGGTGAACGTAAAACGGTATGTGGTTGGTTATTTTTGTGGAAATGAATCATTTCTGGTTTGTTTCAATAGGGAACCACAATCTCTTCATACTGGTGTGAATGGATCAATGTGTGCTGAACAGATACCCTGTTTCGGTTTATCGCTCTCGTGAATAGTTGCGTGTTTGACCTCGGTTGAGGGGTTCCTTACCCCATGGTAGAAATTTCGGTTCTTTCCTTCATGGGATTAATGTGTGTTGACCACACTCTCCAATTGTATATAGTAAATGGTATGCAACCCGAATCAAAGCTGCATCATTTCATTTTCCTGTTTAACAAGTCATTTTATTTCATGCTTCACCAAACCTGTTCATTAAGATACGAGGGGAAAGGAGGGCAGGGGGAACTATGGAAAATCGCTCTATTCGGTACGGAAAAGCGATTTCGTCAACCCTAACTACAATTCTGCGAATTGACCTTCAAAGAGAGTACACTGTGAATAGTTTTAACAGCTCTTCGTGTCACATTCCACCAACCGATTTCGACATTCTGGGTACCGCATATGATTGACCTCGTGATTTTCGTGTATCGAAAATAAAGTGCGTATGTCGATATGTGTAAAGTAGAGCTTTGACAACTAAAGTAACACTAGGGTAGTCATTCATTCATTTAGAAGAAATCAATAGGCTTTGAAGAATAAGAAAGGTAATTTAAGTCAAAATAATGTAAGCAGGTAAGTGTATAGTGAAGCCACCGATAAGTCGCCTCCATGAGGTTGCATGGTCG